TACAATATACCACTCAATACATTTAGCATCCAATATAGAAACAAAGTTTTAAGGTACATAACAAAGCTTAAAATATCCAAGATGACCAATTACCATTAACAAAAACATCCATGTAACATCCCAAAACTCATAAGGTAAAAATTTCATTATTAGTTCAACCATAAACACCATTTAACCATATCAATCATTCAAAAGTATATTAGAGTAATAGTTATCATAGTAAAATTCTCAAAATCATAAAGTGCGGAAACATGGGTGGATGCGCTGCGATCAAACCGGGCCCTTCTCTCGTGAACCGGAAGTACCTGAAAAACATTTTAAACATAAACTTTAAGCACAAAGCTTGGTGAGTTCCCCCAAAAAAAACACATACTATACATACATTGGGCGTTACCCCACAACCTTCGGGCCCCGCTCGACATCGAGCCCCGCCCGGAACAGATCTGTTAGTAACATGAGATGGGCCCTACCCATTCATACTCATCATGTACCACCTGGTATACATACTGCACATAAAATACATGCACGAATCACTAAGATAAACATCAGGATCTACACTTATCAAGCTCTCCCGGGCATCGAGCCCCGTCTGGTATACATATTAATTATCACACATGCAAGAGTCACACAGACAACTAGCATCCTAATCATAATAAATCATAGGTCGACATTGGTACCTTCGACCCACCAATCACAATGATGAGACTCACCTCAATCAGAAGATCGCAAATCTCACACCCAAGTTTGTTGCTCAACGACTCCTCACACTGAACATAATCAATACCAACCCTAGTTACTATCTAAGGTTGAGCCCATAATTCATAAGGCCCAATAATGGCCTGAACCAAAACTACGCCTACTAATGGACTAGGCCCAACTAGAGAATCGTAAGGCCCAACAGAGTCCCAAAAGTTCCAAAATGGCCTAAAGTAAATGGTCCAAGCTCTAACTACTAACACTCACATCGTGACCAGCTCATGGTCACGTGTAACATCCCAATTTTCAAGACCAAAAATTTCATTTTTGATATAAAAATTTAGAGAACCGTTTATAAGAAAAACATAGTTAAATCACATCATTCATCAAAACCATAATTACATGTCTCAAATAATATCATAAAGACAACATATCATCAGTGTACAATCCCAAGAACATCATAGTACGAAAATCATGTGTGTGTGTGTGATACGCTGCTACCGTGCCGGCTCCATCCCCTTCGACGAAGAGGTACCTGAAATCAAAACTGAAAACTATAAGCACAAAGCTTAGGGAGTTCCCCCATTATACTACATACCATACATAACACATAATGCATAACATAACTGGGTACTAACTACCCTTTCGGTCTTGCCGACCGGTACCTTGCCTAGCATATCAGGGTGCTGGCCTCCTCTTCGGTCCTGTCGACCAGTATCTTGCTTAGAATATCAGGGTGTTGGCCTCCCCTTCGGTCCTTTAGAGCGGTATCTGGGGACTATTTCACCCCTACCATTACCACATAACATCATAGCACATATGTCATAAACTGTCTCACATAACTGGGTACTAACTACCCCTTCGGTCCTTTCGACCGGTACTGGGGTCTAACCTACCCCTTCTATCACATATCACATAACATCATAGCTTTTTAGCACATAATGATAACAGATAGCAACATACCAATTAATTATCACAAAGAAAATTATCTCTACTATAACTCTTACTAGTGGGCCGGCCTTGGTGCCTTCGACCCACTTCTTACTAGAAGGTAACTCACCTCAGTGTCATGAAGTGTCTGAACTGTCCTCGCTACCGGGATCAACTCCTCTCAAATCCTACACATAATCAACTTCCTTAGTTACCATTTCATGCTCGGCTTAGGTCAAAGTCAACACCCTGGTCAATGTCAACTTTCAGTCAACTCGCCAAGTTGGTCCAACAACTCGTCGAGTTCCCTGATATAGAGTCAGGACCATTTGCAAGCGACTCAGCGAGTTCATCCTTTGACTCGCCGAGCCCATCTTCATGCTAGTTTGGACATTTAGTCCTTAACTCTTCGAGTTCATCTTCATGCAAGTTGATGCTCTTAGTGTTGGACTTGCTGAATCCATCTTCATATTCTTGGGACATAGCCTTGAACTCGCCGAGTTAGTTCATACACTCGCCGAGTCCCATGATTTCCAGATCCTTAATGAGCCCAACCGACTGAGTGTTCTTCTAACTTAACACATGGTCCATTATTAAAAGGGATTTGGTGGGAAATGCGACCTGACTCGCCGAGTCACATGATACACTTGATTTCAGTTGGTCTTAATGCATGCACAACATAGATCTTTCCTCCTAGGGTCCATAATACACGTTAAGTCCCAAACTTGACGTCCATGCATGGGGTATTTGGCTCAAATGGCCCTAAAATGGAGTCTACAAGTTGCATTGGGTGCTTATGGCAATAAAGTTGGCACCTTTATGCCATAATAACCCTCAATAGTTCCAGATCTGAAGTCATACCCTCTTAGAACTACAAAATCTCGAATGTGACTATAAAAGTTTAGAAAATGTAGAAATGAACCCTAACTAGAGATCTAAGAGATAAATGGTCAAGGTTGAAGCTTTTTACCTCAATTGAGCTGGAAATGGGACACAACCTTTGGATCTACTAACTTGCACTTGAACTTCCAAGCTCATTCTTCCTTCCCAAGCTTCACAACCACCACAAACACACAAAAAATGGCTCAAGAACACTAAAAAAAGTTTAGGGTTTCGATTTAGAGCTTTCTAGACACATGGAGGCGATTAGGGAGGCCACAAATGGAGTGTTAAGGCGTTTCCCGCATCCAAATTTTAACCTCTACTCGACGAGTTGGGGCCTCCAACTCGCCGAGTCCTAGAACAAATGTTCAAAAATTTATATTTAAATTACATACTAGGAACCGAGCACTACAAATCTCCCCCACTTATTCTAGACTTCGACCTCGAAGTCTGCAACTGCGTCTGGGAAAAGCTCGGGGGTAGTGCTCCCTCATCTCATCCTCTGGCTCCCAAGTCTATTATGAGCCCTTGCGTTGCTGTCATTGCACATTCACCAACTCAGCCCTCTTGTTCCTCAGGTCCTTTGACTTTCTGCCGAGGATAGCTACTGGCCGCTCGATGTAATTTAGGCTGTCATCCACCTGAATATCCTCTAGAGGTACCATTGCTGAATCGTCTACCAGACACTTTCGCAGCTGGGAGATGTGAAAGGTGCTGTTAATCTGGCTAAGTTAAACTGGCAGGTCCAGCTTATACGCCAATTTTCCCACCTGGGCCACGAACCTGAAGGGTCCAATGTACTTGGGGCCTAGCTTGCCCTGCTTCCTGAATCGGATGAAACCTTTCCAAGGTGATATCTTCAGGAGAACCATATCTCTGACCTGGAATTCCAGGTCCAAACAATGCTTGTCGGCATAACTTTTCTGCCGACTCTGAGCAGTCTGAGGCTTGCTCCAGACATGCTGGATTCTCTCTGTCGTCTTGAGTACCACTTCGGTACTCCCCATGACCCTCTGCCCAACCTCACCCCAACATATCGGGGTCCTGCACTTCCTCCCGTATAACATCTCGAAGGGAGGACGATCAATACTCGCGTGGTAGTTATTGTTGTAGGAAAACTCTGCCAATGGAAGGAAGGTATTGTTGGATATAGTGTC